GTTAATGCAGTAAAAAAAAACATAGCACACCACATAATACAAATGTGAATGGCTATGCCAATGCCAAAATAAATAGGCTTGAGCTACCTGAACGAAATATGCCCTAATGCCCAAAAATGTGTGCATTAACGCACAAAGTTGCTCCTGGGCAAACTCAGAACAGTCTAACAATATTAGATTTACTTGACCCAGTGCCTGCTGGATGATGGTTCTAAACACTAGGTGGCACCAAGACATCAGTTACAACACTAGGACCATTCAGTAGAACAGTTGCGCTATATCCCTACAATTAGAGTGCATTGAACATGGGTTGTATAAATAGTACAACACACCAAGGGCTTGGCATTAGCTATGCAGACACAAGGGCATTTCTCACAATTTTCTGAGCTGAGAAACATTTTTTTAGCAGAAAATATTTTTAAAAAATTTTACGCATAGGACAAATCCCTAGACATGCAGTCTGTAAAACGTTGTGCACAAAGACATGGTTAGAAAAGAAAACAGAAGCTTTTTTAGCACTGCTTTTACCTTGATATTAGCGCTTGAATGTAGCAAATGCAACAATGTAGAGCACATGAGCACATGTGCACATGTGTCAAAAACAAGGCATGTGGGCCAAATTCATATGGCCCTTGCACCTCTACTGCAGCTGCAGCGCCCCCCTCGTCTCCACTTTGTTTCAGCAGTCAGCAGCAGAGAGGACAGAACTCCTTCTCCAGATCCTGAGTGTAGGAAGATGTAGTCTGCTTTCTCCACTGTAGGTGGCGCACGATCAGAGCGATACTCCAGCTGGATAAGAAGTTAAGAGAAACTTGGTTCCTATATGGTTTCCTCTGTACCCTAGAACAGCATTCTGGTTGGCTACGCTGCATCTAGGTGACCCTGGTGGCCATCTTGGGTCAAGCAGAGCCTTTTTAGATCCTTGCCCCCAGGTTTTGGCATACATTTTGTGAAGTGGCTAGTGCAGGGAGATACCTCGTCTATCAGGGTCAGCACTAGTGGTAGGGACAGGTTCCAAAGGAGTAAGGAAGGTGTGGGACCTATGTCTATACTTCCACAAGCTCCCTCTTGGGTCGGACCAGTCAAGCTGCACTCCTCCTCCCTCGCTAGGTGCTGTCTTCTGCTCAGGCCTACTGCCGCTGACTCTCCACTGTGAGTTCCTGGAAGCATGTTCTCCCAGGTTGTTGTTACTGTTCTGCATCTTGGGCCTCAGTGTCATTACTGCCACCGCACCACGCTGCACCTAGCCCACATGTGTTTCTCTGTGCAGCCCCAGAGAGGCTTGCCTCTGCCCCTTCCCCCAGTTCAGCAGTTGGCAGCAGACAGGAGGACAGAACTCCACCTACAAATAATGCATCTCTCTTTGCAGCCACAGCACCCCCCCCTGGTCGCTGCCTCTCCTGGTCTCAGTATTCAGTGTCCAGCAGCTGACTCCAGCCCTCCTCTGGTCCTTCTCCAGACCCTGCACTTTCTGCTTCCTAGCTCTGCCCCAGCTTCTTCCTGGCAGCAGAACAAAGGTAAGGAGGTACACTGTGATGTAAGGGAGGGTAAGGGGCTCTTGATTTCTGATGGTGGGGGACTATAGTGCAAACACCCTCAAATGACCCCTTTTTGGAAAGTAGACACCCTAAGCTATCTGCTGAGAGGCATATTGGGTCCATGGAAGATTTATTTTTTTTCCACAAGTTTCTGGAATATGACAAAAACATTTTTTTTTTTTACATAAAGTTGTCATTTAAATGATTTATTTCTTGGTGCTATCCTGGCATGTCTGGGCCTTTGAAACTGTAATAGTTAGTGAGGAAGTGTAATGAGAAATTTATGCACCTTCAGGCTTTCAAAGTGGTCATTGGATTTTGGGGTCCTGTACTTGGCTAGACTGCCAAAACGTCTCTCACATGTGGTACCCCCATACTCGGGAGAAGTAGCAGAATCTATTTTGGGGAGTAATTCCACATATACCCATGGCATGTGTGAGCAGTAAATCATTTAAGTGACAATTTTGTGTAAAAAAAAAATATATATATATATTTTTCTTGTCAATTTCCAAAAACTTGTGGTAAAAAAATAAATTCTTCTATTGATTCAACATGCCTCTCAGCAAATAGTTTGGGGTATCTACTTTCCAAAAAGGGGTTGTTTTGGGGGGTGGGGGCGTTTTATGCCCAGCATTAGAAGTTTATGCCACACATCATTCACTCTTCTAACCACCTGAAGATCAAGCCTTTTCTGACACTGTTCACATGAAAAAAAAAAAACAGTATTTTTTGCTAGAAAATTAAATTTAAACACCCAAACATTATATATTTTTTTTTAAAGCAGACACCCTAGTGAATAAAATGGTGGGTACTACAATTTTTGTTATGGCACATAGTACTTGCACAGCAATTTTTCAAAAGAAATTTAAAAAAAAACCACACACTTTTTTACCTTTAATGCACAAAAACACAATATATTGGCCAATTATTATTTGGTAAAATATAAAAGATAATGGTATGCCGAGTAAATAGATACCAAACATGACATGCGTTAAAACTGCACATGCCCTGTGCAATGGCGACAAACTGCATACATTTTTAATATCCATAAGCAACACTTTAAAAGCTACCATTTTAGATTTACAGAGGAGGTCTAGTGTTAGAATTACTTTTTTTTTCGTTTGCAGCCTGTTGGCTGAATGAAAAAAAGAGAATAAATCTCTGCCAGAAAAACTGTGTGGTATGCCCACCATTAGAATATACCGCCCTGCATCCACCCACTTCTAATGGTGGGCACACATTAGGTCACACGGTGCCACATGCGCCAGTTCCAAGATTGTACAAATGTTTAAATAGTGGCACGCTTGAATAAAAATTGTCCACGTATAAGTGGTACCCCATATGGAAAAAAGATGACACCAAGTCCTAAACTATCTTGTCACTGCTCCCCATGTAGTCTGGGCATCCAGGGCGGCTCCACGTGACTATCTTTTCCCTCATAAATCCGAAACTTATAAGTATACCCTGTTGCCCTCTCACAGTTCTTCTACATTTTGACCCCATATCTGGCACTCTTACTGGGGAGAAATTGTTTGAATGCAAGGTGGCCAGAAAAATTAATCAGGGACTCATCAACACAGATTTTTTGCTGGGGAGTATAGACATCTGCAAATTTTTGGTTAAGGTGATTTACAAGGGGCTGAATTTTGTGGAGCCGGTCAAATTCAGGGTCACCTCAAGGACGACAGAGTGTATTGCTGCTGAAATGCATAAACACATTATACTCTCATATCTATGCCTGGCCATGGCAGCAGAGAACACGGTATATGACGAATCGGGTCTGTGGGCCAATACAACCGCAATTAATTTTTTTAGTAATACCCATGTTGAGGGTTAGGCCCAAAAAAAATGTAAATTCGAAAACCATAATGAGTTTCCATGCGATTGGTCTGGCAAGGTTTGAATTTGGGTTGGCGGCGATAAATTGTTGTGGATATAAATTGCTTTGATTCACAATCAACGCATACAGATATTCCGTGAAAAACAGCTCAAAAAATCAAGGGGAGGAGTTAAATGTGCTATTTCCACCTGAATTCCGGGTTGGGCAGTGAATGGGGAAGTACGGGTACTGCAGAATTTGTGGGCTGCCAGTCGAGATTTGCAAGGACATCCGGAAAGATACTAGGGGCTCTACAGGCCTGTGTGCGAATTCTTGGTGGTTACGAGACAATACTTGTGCTCGCCACCGCACCAGCTTGTACTGCACTTATGGGACTCACCACATCGCCAAGTCATACTGCAGTGCTGTTATTATTATTATTATTCAGGATTTATGGCGCCAACAGTTTGCTCAGCACTACAATATAACGGGAGACAATACAGAACAATACATTTCAATACAAGAGGGTTAGGAGGGCCTGATCCTGGGAGCTTACAATCTAAGAGGTATGTGAAAGACCAGGATGTATTAGGCCACTAGTACTCACCAGTTCACCAAAAGGTAGCGTGGCAGTAGTACTGGCACTCTGCTGCATATGAGAGTCATCAAAATTTACTGACAAGTGCTAACAGAGATCAGACCTGATTCTGCCAACACTGCAGTTTTGTGTGCAATGTATCAAGTGACAGTGACCTACTGACACTGCATTGCTGGGGGAGAAGGGGGGGGGGTAAGCATAGGGGCTAAACGCAGGTGCTGACAGGTGCCGGGGGTGATCCTGCTAACGCTGCGTTTTTGGGGACGCTATACTAATGTGAACGCTGGTATAATGCTGATCTGATCAAAGATATTGATCCGTTCAGACACTATACTAGCAATGGAAGTTTATTATGCATGAGCGTATTCCTGGCAATCAAGGGGTTAAATGTTAAATGCGATCAGGAAGCGGTTACAGAAGCGGTTTGTGTTATGTCACTGCGTTACTTTAACTGACAATTGCACGGTCATGCAACACTGCACCCAAATTAAATGTACGTTCTTTTTTCCCCACAAATTGAGCTTTCTTTCGGTGGTATTTGATCGCCTGTGCGTTTTTTATTTTTTGCGCTATAAAAAAAAAAAGGCTGACAATTTGAGAAAAAAAAACAATATTTTGAACTTTTTGCTAAAAAACGTGTCCAGTAAAAAAATTTAAAAATCTAATTTCGTCATAAATTTCGGCCAAAATGTATTCTGCGACATGTCTTTGCTAATAAAAATCCCAATACATGTAAATAATTGGTTTACGTGAAAGTTATAGCATTTACAAATGGCGGTATAGATACTGGATTTTTTATTTTTTATATACTAATGCTAAACAACTTATGTCGGCGATCAGTGACTTATGGCGGGACTGCGGCGGACATTCTTATACTGGGGGGAACTGACTTGGGGTCATTGACATCCCCAGTGACACCAATACAGTGATCAGTGCAAAAAAAACACTGACACTGTACTAATGGCACTGGGGAGAAAGGGGTTAACTTTTTTAGGCAAAGGGTTAACTGTGTGAGGGGAATGTTTTACTAGTGGGGGGGGTGTACTTCACAGGAACACACTGATCCCCAGAGCTAAACTCCGCTCTCAGAAACAGCGTGCTGGAAACTGGCAGGGAGCAGAGCTGCATTGAAAACAATGCAGCTATGCTCTGTGCCACTGTTTGCCGGCAATCGTCGGGACCCAGCAGGTAATGACCGGCCGGACCCGGTGATTGACACCCGTGGCCGCAATCGGTGGCGTGGGTAGGGTGGTCGGGTGCCTCGCGCGCGCCCTCTACCGGTTTGGCAAAATCACGTTTTAAAACGTGATTTTGCACAGCGGTGCCGCCCTGCCGCAGTATATAAACTGTGGCTGGTAGGCAACCAGTTAAAGCAGGTTACTGGTTAGTTAGCAACTTGTTTCTGGCGAGTTTTCATCAAGGGGCCTACTGTTCTGCCCTACTATCATGTATTTTTTTTTATATTTTGTATTGAACTGCATAAGGTTTTTATTTTTCTGCAGTATGCTGACATCTGATGGTGACTTGGGCCACTACAACTTGTTTACTAATGTGATTTTGGTATCTTTCTCTGTCTCCCTTCTGTTTAGTGCTAGTTGGTTTAGTTTTAGCTAGACCAGGGTCTCCAAACTATGGCCCTCCAGGTGTTGAGGAACTGCAAGTCCCATGAGGCTTTGCAAGACTCTGACAGACACAGGCAAGACCCCCAGATGCAGAGGCATGATGGGACTTGTAGTACTTCAACAGCTGGAGGGCCATAGTTTGGAGACCCTTGAGCTAGACCTTCCCCACTTCTTCTATGTTAGTTATTCACAGAGACAAGGCTTAGGAAAGTCATTGTCTTCTTACACTTTGGAATAAGCATCCAGTTAGCTTGAGTAAAATTGTGTTGGAGTCAACTTTTGTGTCTTATTGAAGAGTTAGGCTGCCTGTGGATGGTGCCAAGTCAGCAGGTGGCCATACTGTCCAGACAACCTGGGTCTAAGGAGGTATGTCAATGTATAAAGTGGAAATTGAAACAGAACACCTACAATGGGTGTGTTTGAGATTGATTCCGCATTAAGTTTAATTCACATTGGATGTTTAGCTTTGGTGTATGTGATCCACAGGTGTAGGTGAAGGGCACAAGTGCACCATTCAGCACCTCCGCCTGTTAAACCCTGTGAGAGGCTGAAAGCTGCTGCGGCTGGATGGTGCACCGACTGGTACTAACATTTAGGGCAGTGATGTGGTGTCCAGCGATGAATGTCCAGAACACAGACTGCTTGCATTTTTCCCTGGGCACATACTGCCCTAAACAGTTTACTACTTGGAGCACTGCCCAGCTGCAGCAGCTGTAAGCCCCTTATAGAGTTGGGGCCTGTTCTTTCCACCCGCACCTAACTGCTGGAGTCTCCTGCACTGGGATTAAACAGTTAGTGTGCACGAGGCTTTACAGACAGGTAAGTAAAAGAGGTTCAATTTAAATGTAAGTGCAGCGCTAAAGCAATCATAATCTAGTAAGCGTGCCCCTGAAGACTTGCATGTGCACGAAACACGTTGGGTGGAGCCTTACGTGCTGACGTCACGCTGCTGCGGCCTGAGCTCTCGGAGCGGCAGCCATCTTGGCTCCTGTGGTGAGCTTCTCCCCCTAGGAAGATCCTTTGCTGGCATTGCATAGCCCTGACCCTGGAGAAGTCGGGGTCCCTATTTACGGCTTCGTGAGACCCCTCATAAGGATCAGTATTAATGCTATTATACAAGTAGCGTTCTGGTGAGTGCACATCCATAGAAGGTGGTGGATTCCTATGTTGAATCATGAGCACTCTTGAACATCCCAGCTGATATTGCTGCACCTTGTAGTTCCACGAGCACCTGGAACTGCTGTGACCTGTAGTGCCACAGGCTATGCATAATCACCATTATTGCTAAATAAGCACATATACATCACTTGGCACTTCTGTGACCTACAGTGCCACGGGCTATCCACTATTTATATTCAGAATTTTTGAGTTTTTTATGATTTTATGATTCTATGTGATCTGAGACGTTTTATTGATTTATTTCACTGGAATATTGTATGAACACTTCTATCACATAAGCACTCTATGATTGCATTTGTCACTTATGCTTTAGCTCTGCACTTACATTTGAATGATTTCTGTGGGTTTTTACCTTGCCTATCGTGCTAGCGGCTAACATATTATCAGAGCTCGCCTTATATCTTGTGTTGTAATAAAAGAGGTTACCTGGATTATTTTTTTAATGTTATTTGATTTACATGTCAATAGAGGATCCCAACCACTGCACCTCCTGCCTGGAGTTTGCATGTTCTCCCTGTGCCTGCGTGGGTTTCCTCTGGGTACTCCGGTTTCCTCCCCCACTCCAAAGATATGCTGGTAGGGTAATTTGCTCCTGTCTGAACTGTCCCTAGTATGTGTATATATGAATGTGAGTTAGGGACCTTAGATTGTATGCCCCTTGATGGTTGGGGACTGATGTATATGTAAAGCGCTGCGTAAATTGATGGCGCTATATACAGTCAGGTCCATAAATATTGGGACATCAACACAATTCTAACATTTTTGGCTCTATACACCACCACAATGGATTTGAAATGAAACAAACAAGATGTGCTTTAACTGAAGACTGTCAGTTTTAATTTGAAGGTATTTACATCCAAATCAGGTGAACGGTGTAGGAATTACAACAGTTTGCATATGTGCCTCCCACTTGGTAAGGGACCAAAAGTAATGGGACAGAATAATAATCATAAATCAAACTTTCACTTTTTAATACTTGGTTGCAAATCCTTTGCAGTCAATTACAGCCTGAAGTCTGGAACGCATAGACATCACCAGACGCTGGGTTTCATCCCTGGTGATGCTCTGCCAGGCCTCTACTGCAACTGTCTTCAGTTCCTGCTTCTTCTTGGGGCATTTTCACTTCAGTTTTGTCTTCAGCAAGTGAAATGCATGCTCAATCGGATTCAGGTCAGGTGATTGACTTGGCCATTGCATAACATTCCACTTTCCCTTAAAAAACTCTCTCTTCTTCTTCCCATCACTCTGGTACAAGTTGATCTTGGTCTCATCTGTCCATAGGATGTTGTTCCAGAACTGTGAAGGCTTTTTTAGATGTCATTTGGCAAACTCTAATCTGACCTTCCTGTTTTTGAGGCTCACCAATGGTTTACATCTTGTGGTGAACCCTCTGTATTCACTCTGGTGAAGTCTTCTCTTGATTGTTGACTTTGACACACATACACCTATCTCCTGGAGAGTGTTCTTGATCTGGCCAACTGTTGTGAAGGGTGTTTTCTTCACCAGGGAAAGAATTCTTCGGTCTTCCGGGTTTTTTGGTGTTGCTGAGCTCACCGGTGCGTTCCTTCTTTTTAAGAATGTTCCACACAGTTGTTTTGGCCACGCCTAATGTTTTTGCTATCTCTCTGATGGGTTTGTTTTGTTTTTTCAGCCTAATGATGGCTTGCTTCATTGATAGTGACAGCTCTTTGGATCTCATCTTGAGAGTTGACAGCAACAGATTCCAAATGCAAATAGCACACTTGAAATGAACTCTGGACCTTTTATCTGCTCATTGTAATTGGGATAATGAGGGAATAACACACACCTGGCCATGGAACAGCTGAGAAGCCAATTGTCCCATTACTTTTGGTCCTTTAACAAGTGGGAGGCACATATGCAAACTGTTGTAATTCCTACACCATTCACCTGATTTGGATGTAAATAGTAAATACCCTCAAATCAAAGCTGACAGTCTGCAGTTAAAGCACATCTTGTTCGTTTCATTTCAAATCCATTGTGGTGGTGTATAGAGCCAAAAATGTTAGAATTGTGTAGATGTCCCAATATTTATGGACCTGACTGTAAGTACCTGAAATAAATAAAATATGCTGTTGGTTTGTCACATTTGTTGCCTTGATAATGTAGTTATTATTTTCATAGATGTCTTCCTAAAGATGGCCACCCACGTAGAAGAGCTCTGAAGCATGAACCTTTCGGAATGTCAGACCCTACTCTGCCCCGGCATCCATGTGTACACAGTCTTGGATCGGTGAGCGAAGGAATGTATCTACTTTATTAAAAAGGTGCACAAAATACACATCTATTACAGAGGCAAGCTTTATAGAATCTGGGCCATTGTGTGAAAAACAGTGATAACTGGTCTAAAAATACCGGCATTGAGGAACATGGAAAGCTGTTTCAGGATGATAAGAGAAAAGGCTTTCCCAATAGGAAATTACTAGGCAGTCCTGAGGAAAAGCTTCTGCTGATGCAGCATTTAACAAGCCGGTAGAGAGAAGCACATGGGCTGAATGGATCACAGCGAGCAAACAGAGACGGCGGACTCTCCTTTCAAAGAGCTTTCATTCATCCTCCATCCTCTCATTCATTTTATAATCCATTCACCCAGAACTTTCTATATACAGATCCATGTGTTGGCTGGCTCCTGAAATGTGCATATTGGCTATGGGATCGGCCTGACTTTTGCTAAATCTGTCCATAGAGAAAAAGAGAATATATATATACAGTGGGGATCAAAAGTTTGGGCACCCCAGCTAAAAATTTGTATTAATGTGCATAAAGAAGCCAAGGAAAGATGGAAAAATCTCCAAAAGACATCAAATTACAGATTAGACATTCTTATAATATATGTCAACAAAAGTTAGATTTTATTTCCATCATTTACACTTTCAAAATAACAGAAAACAAAAAAATGGCGTCTGCAAAAGTTTGGGCACCCTGCAGAATTTATAGCATGCACTGCCCCCTTTGCAAAGCTGAGACCTGCCCCAGTGTCATGGATTGTTCTCAATCATCGTCTGGGAAGACCAGATGATGTCAATCTCAAAGGTTTTAAATGCCCAGACTCATCTGACCTTGACCCAACAATCAGCACCATGGGTTCTTCTAAGCAGTTGTCTAGAAAATTGAAACTAAAAATAGTTGACGCTCACAAAGCTGGAGAAGGCTATAAGACGATAGCAAAGCGTTTTCAGATGTCAATATCCTCTGTTCGGAATGTAATTAAGAAATGGCAGTCATCAGGAACAGTGGAAGTTAAAGCAAGATCTGGAAGACCAAGAAAAATATCAGACAGAACAGCTCGCAGGATTGTGAGAAAAACAATTCAAAACCC